AGCAATCGTTAGACGAACACATTTTTAAAAAAACAAAAACTTCTATTTAATATATGTATATATATATACACATATATATGTGCGAACATATATATATGTATATATATGTATATATATATATACATATATATATACATATATGTATATATATATATATATATATGAACATGTGTATAAGGAGAATCTCGTCATAATGCGTTTTGCACTTTCATAAGTGCGAAAAAGTATTAAAATCGGCTCTCTCGGAGCATCATCGTATGTAAGCAGTTGATAAAGAAGAGGGCACGCCGCAGAATTCAACGATTTTTAAACGAATTAGTGAATAACTTGGAACAGATAAGTCGTCAAGAAAAAAGCAAGGTGGATCGAAGATCGGGACCAACAGCAATACGCTGATCATCAGGCGGTGTAACTTTAATTAAAGCAACCACAGAAAGGTTGGCAGCTGTATGGAGGGTGCTGGAGTGAAGCGACAGCTAAGTGATAGTGATTCAAGCAGTAGGCTTTTCCCTGCCCAACAACTGTAGACTGCATTTGGTAAGATTCACGCAGAGGTACCAGCTTCTTGTAAGAAAGAACTCTTTCCGGAGAAGAGGCCTGGATTGGCTCGTTGCTTTCCCGTCCTCGAGTTTTCGTCTTGCAATGAATGAATACACGGCAGGTTTGTTTGACGAGCGAATAGTGGTCTATTCGTCATGTGCTCGTATTTTGCCCTGACCGGTCCTTTCATCTGATATTATGCCATGACTGCTAGCTTCTTATCATTTTCAAAATGGGGACCTTAAAGAACAGAATGGGCTTCACAAATCAGTTTGTAAATTACACTTATCAAATTTTTTTTCATGGCATATTTGGCAAGTTAGGGAAACTTGTGATGTTTTCTGGCGTCCTTAAAGATGTTTTTCCGGGAATTTTCTTTGCAGGCACCGGGTGGGGAAGGTTCGAGGATGCAAGAAGTCAGACAAATCATCGTCGCATTAAAGGTCATTTCCACTGCTAAACTTCTCGCAAAACAAGTGCTATTTGCCTACAGCACAGCATGCGTGATTTTTCGGATTGAGTGAAAATTGGTTCAGGATAAACTGATGGAGAGACATTTGATGTCAAAGAAGATCACGGAGCTGAACAATGTTCTGGAGAAAATCAATGGTGCGACGAATAAAGTTATGATCGAGGTAAAGCTTTAATGATTCGCATTTCTTTCGCCGAATGTTCAGTTCCCTGAACTAAGCTGAAACAGCACGGTTCTCCAAGCCACTACACACTTGTCTACCTAACCACTTCCGAGAAAAACAACAATTGCGTGGCTGCGCTAGGTGGACGAATTTTTCGCCGCCATTTCTTTCTTGTCATTTGGAAATTACGGTACTAGGTCTAGACTGGTGGTACCAGATTAGAGTTATCAGATTATGGTATCTGGATCATTTGCGGAAATTTCCAGATGGACAACCGAGTGGATGATCTCAACAGGGATTGGCAAAAGCGGCTGCAGAGCCAAAATTTCAAATGGAAAGACCGGATCAGCGCCCTCAGTAATTATGACAACAGGTTGGCAGTGAGAGTGGTGAAGCAATCTGTTACTTAAGGCTGGCGCACAGCTAATAAGTGACTAATCAAAAATTTTGTCACCGAGAAAAAAATTAAAGTCAAACGTAGGGTCAGAATTCCCTTCGTATTTCGTTCTCTTCAAAAACGGAGGCACCCGAACAGTAGCTCGAGTAGTAACAAATGCCAACAGCACCAACTCTAGCAAAGCTGTCGATGGTCCTTTCTTCTGAGGGCTGGTTAGAAGCATGATGATGTTGGGTGGCTATCATATGAAGTAATTATGTAAAGTGGAAAAAAGCACGGGTGCAAATGACACAGTAGCAATACTTCATCTCTTTGAAGAGTAACAAATCCAAAATTCTGCATAGTCGACACGATACGCTGAAATAACATTCGTAATCACCGGGCAACAAGCTTGCTACGTTGTGCTATTGATCGTGGTACGTATGTTTTAGTAGTATAGCTCTGTGAAGAGAGCAGTACTGACTGAGGGCCCGATGCGGCTTTCAATCAAATCCTCGACAATTTCCCTTTTTCCTGAAAAATTTAAGAGGAATTTGATGCAATTTAATGGCTAGTATTACATCGGCAAGGCTCTGGGAGAGTTACAGAGCGCCACAGGATG